TAATAATAATAATAATAAAATGACAACACACAATTTAATTGTCCTCTACACTCTTAAAAATAAAGGTGCTTCAAAAGGTTCTTCACAGCGATGCCATAGCAGAACCATTTTTGGTTCCACAAAGAACCATTCAGTCAAAGGTTCTTTAAAGAACCATCTCTTTCTTACCTTTTTGTAATCTGAAGAACCTTTTTTCACTACAAAGAAGCTTTTGTCAAACAGAAAGGTTCTTCAGATGTTAAAGGTTCTTTATGGAACCATTTAGACAAAAAGGTTCTTCAATGGCATCGTGAAGCACCTTTATTTTTAAGTGTAAGTCACTCTGAAACAAAATTACCACATTTTCCTGCTTTGATTTCATCAAGGTCACGCCAAGTAAATACTAGTCAGACACAGAAGAGGAAGAATTTAAAAATATGATCATATTTATTAATGGAATGAGAAATGCTCTTAAAGGTCCAAGCACACAAAAACAGCTGCCAAGGGCCTTACAGTTATGAATTAATAGTATTTGCGGGGTCAGCCTTATTAGAAAAAAATAAAAATGAATTTTGGTTAACCTTTTGGGTTATTATTTTAGAAAGGCTTACAAGAAGTACTTCTGCCTATCAATTGAAGATGTGCAACATAACAGGACTTGACATCAAAACTTGACATCCTCCACTGAACATCTGTAGTTATAGCTTCACAAAAAAATGTGAGGGTGTGTTAATCAGAAGAGAGTCCAGACAACCTTGGTAAAATACATTGTGATTATCAAAGGTCATAAAACACTTGGAGACCGAGAAAATTTGACAAACAGCTGATCAAACAGATCGAGGAAATGAAAGCAGTTATCAGAGGCAAACTGTTTGATGTTTGAAAAGTAAATCATAATGGGAAATGGCAAAGTACTGTCGAACAAGGCTTGAAATTACACTAAAAGGTTCTGTGAGTGCCCTTCCATTTAAAGTCGTTTGTGGCTTGATGAACTCATTTCTATCTTAATCGTACTTCAAATTTCCAGAACTGTCAGTAATTTTCAAGGCTATCGTCTGTTAATTATTTGAATTTAATATCTGCCAACCGGACAGAATTTCACAAATTTAAAAATGCCTCTGGAAGAGTCTCTAATCAGTGTAGTTGAAACTGTCAGAACAGTTGATTGGTGGACTGATGCAACATTGCAAAAACTAATCATAAAGATGAAAGGCAAATCAATTCAACTTCATATTTAGAATGGTCCTAAAGCCCTGACTCCCAAATTTATCTTTAAACTCCAATTATCAAATTCATTAAGATGCTCAACATTACTTTCCAGGTTGATCTCATGGGACGGGTGTTTTCACACTTGAGTCCTCTTTAAAAGAACCAAACCAAGACCCCTTTAAGTGGACCAAGAGGTGGACCAAGTGAAAAAGTTCCTGAGAGGGATTAACACTATCGCAGTTCCTGAAAAAGGACTCAGATCCTTTAATGCCATATGAGTGGGGTGGGGCAATGTTTTAAAATGACTGTAAAAAGCATGATTTACAGTTCAGATATAGGTTTTCACAAAAAATATAAAGAAATTAAATACAATTTTAAATTTCAGCCTTTCAAATTTCAAACCATTTTTAAGAAAAGAGTCAAAAATCAAATGTATCAATTATTATAGTAATGCTTTAATGGCTGGTTTAATATCAATTATTTTAAACCAGCAGAAGGGCTGTTAAAAAAATGCTAATTCATTCTCTCCCAGCAGGTGGCGCTTTCAGAACTGCATAAAGATATACTTTGAAACGTGCAGCACTCATATTTATCCAATGAAATCATAGCCTTTTTCATTTTAATCATCACATTATGATATACGACAATTGTCTTTCCGTCCCCATTGTACTTTTTATGGCCTTAAATTTGATACCAAAAAGGACCAGCGGAAAAGGCATGCTGACATTGAGATAGAAAAACAAATTTAATTGGACAAATAAAATAAAATATAATAAACTGCTTTAAATTTTTCAGGTACAGTACAGGTATCCTTAAATGCAGTATTTAAGTAAGAAATGTACTAATCAAATGAAAAAACTGCATATATTATTAATCGTATGAATAATAGATTAGGCTGTTGTACTACATACTGCACAGATCAGTTACACATGCGATTTCTTACCCAGATGTTTACATTCGATTGAGACAAAACCAACTGTGTTTATGTGAACCATGGGTGTTTTTGACAGTTGAAACAATAAACGCTAAAGAGAGTGTAGTTTAGCCCCCGCTGGGATGTGCACGCTTGTACACTCTTAAAAATAAAGGTGCTTCACGATGCCATAGAAGAACCTTTTTTGTCTAAATGGTTCCATAAAGAACCTTTAACATCTGAAGAACCTTTCTGTTTCACAAAAGGTTCTTTGGGGCGAAAGAAAGTTCTTCAGATTATAAAAAGGTAAGAAAGAGATGGTTCTTTAAAGAACCTTTGACTGAATGGTTCTTTGTGGAACCAAAAATGGTTCTTCTATGGCATCGCTTGAAGAACCTTTTGAAGCACCTTTATTTTTAAGGGTGTAGCCTATATCAAAAAGTCGTATCTCACACAGTTTTTCAGCGGTTGAAATTAAAATAAATGAGTGTACGTTGTGAGCGAACAATTTGTAGAGATCTGCCAGAAGAAGCAGCCACTATGAACAGCTGATTTGTATGGAAACATCTGATGGCCAAACTACATTGGAATTCGCAAACGGCAAAATCAAGTGAGCCCGGGCCGATTTGTGTTCATAATGCACATTTTTAGCGAACCGTACCTTAGCCGAAAGCGAACCGTACTCAGACCACCTCCCGAGATGGTCTCGGTTCGGTTCGGATCGCTTCTGAGGGGTCTGAGATCGTTTGGAGTGTTCACATATGGGCCCAAAATAACGCGAACCACGCTCAGACCCCTGAAAAGGACCAAGTGTGAAAACACCCTTAAAGGGGTCATATGATCCAGAATCCCATCTCTCTCCTTGGTACATGTGCATGCACAAGATGAATCCTCTGAGTGCCCCACCAGTGTACGGTTCATTAAATTTTAATATCGTTCAAAGGAGCTTCCTTTGCAGGGGACAAATGGGCAGGCTGACTTTGCATATGTATACCTGCAGATGGGGACTGGTATACAGAGCAGCGATGCTCTCTCTGGCCCGTTTGTACTGCGTAGAGTTGTCACAGGTGAAGGCAGAACAGAGAGGAAAAGCCCAGAGGAGATTGTGTTCTGAATCGGAACATGTTGTTGGGGACAATGTGTGTCACGAGTTTGCTGATCAGTAGAAGAACAGCATGATTCTTTCAATGTTGTTCCCTTCCTTGGCTTCCCTAGTCCCCCATTAGTTCTTTGCCACTAGCTATTCACAAGGGCTCAAGTGTTCACTCCCAAAAGCCTATGTTTGACCTGAATGTTTTCCACAACAACTATTAATGAATTACCATGAGATGTGAAAGGCCGTACTGCTAGTGAAATGGCTTCTTATGTCTTTCACTTTGGTCGTTACTCCATATCCTAACCAAGTAAGTATGTTATATGAAAGCAATCACAGCCAATTAGAACATATTTAATCTTTAATGTTCAGTTATGTGGAGCAAGATTTTAGAAATAAACGTCAAAATGACCTGTCATGGTCAAGGCTACCTAGGACATAGGCACAGAGCTACAGTTAAATAATAATAATAATAAAAAGATTGCTTTTACTGTTTGTTTAGGAAATAGCATTATCATAGGGTTGTTGACCAAAAGAGTGCACACAAAAGCAAAGAAGAGGACCTCTGATCTGGAAGAACCACATTAGCAATAGCTGTTTTTCTATAATCGTTCGCTACATGCTGAGGAAAAAAAAAGTAGATCTTTATGTAGAAGTTTACCTTTCAGTGGTGTTTGTGTTCCATCAAATTTCCAGGAGTAAAAAAGGATTCACAAGAAATCTAAATTGTCACCCTGAAGTGCCTAGTACTCACAGAAAGGGAACAAAGAGTTAGCATCTGATAACTTTTTATCATGAAGTACATAATGCAACGAGGCTCTGAGAAAATTAATCATGATTGTTTCTGGATTATCTTCCTCTAGTGAGCTTCAATGGCCTCTTCAGATCAGAAGGCCCAGTAATGAACTGTCTCATCAGGGGTCCTCCTGTCTTTAGCCTGGGATTCACTGGTGTCGATCATTAGCATGTAGGATGTTACTTAACAAGGCTTTGAGAAAAGTAAAACAATCGAGGATGGATAAAACCAGCAATTACTGAGAGATTGCAGGTGAAACTGGCTTTTAGCAGTGAGGCTACTGACTTTGAGCACTTATCTCTGGGTAACAAATGACAAAAGTTTATCTTTCACTTTGTCCATTTGTTTTCTCTTTCCTTCTATAGCTAGCTTTAAGTGGTATGATCAAGAGCATCGTAACATCAGAAGCCCCCTAATACGCTTTTCATCAGGGGCCCTCCTGTCTCCAGTGTGGGATTCATTTGTGATGATCATTCAGAAGAATCATAGACAGTTCTGGATGAGAGGATACCAATGCAAGTCTCCAAGTCATACAGAATATGCGTTGGTCACTGGTTGTTCAAAGCTGCGTGGGGGACTGCCTCATAAAGCACCGAAAACAAAGAAATGAGAATCAAACATTACAGGTAAGGAATTTTCTAATGTAGGGTGGTTTGACTTTTAGCAAAAATGAACTTTAAAAAAATAAAACAATGTGTTATAACTGAGACCAATGAGCAAATAAAAAGTACATTAATGCCCCACACATGGGAGCTCAAACAACAAGTGATTCACCAATATTAAAAAGTTTTACCAACACACATGTACAAAACTAGTCCTTATAACCAGGTTCACTCAAGCTATTTGTGAACGCAATCTAGTTAGCATATCCCAACCCCTTCCTATAAACATCTTTAGAACCCACCGTGTCCGCCCATGTCAGCATATTCCAATTCTTCCAGTGAGCCAAATCAGAGCAGTATTTCCTTAAACAAATCCAAATGGGGAAGAAAATGATTTTTTTGTTTTAAATAATGACTTAATCAGCAGAACAGCCACCAAGCAGATAAATTGTCATGCGCGTCGTGCTAAAAATATCCAGCCTCCCTTTGAGTCCACCAGTTTCAGTATAGACAGCACTTGTGTGATGAAGCTGTATCTGCCAGGAAGCCAATAAATTCCCCGCTACGCTCTTGAGGCAGATTCCTCAGTATCAATGCCCCCAGCCAGGGCTTAAAGAGCATGGGTGTTTTGTGTACATATCTAGATATGTAAATATGTCCTATACAATAAAATTGTTCCCCCAAAAATAAATTGACAAAAAGAATTCAAAGATATTCAGTGAATGTTTCTATTGTGCATATTCTTGAGGATTTCTCATTCTCTTTTTTTTCCTGTAGTATTCCACATTCTCCACCAGAAGGAGAACACATGCCTAAATTAGGTAAACAGCATCTCCCGTCTGCTCTGAAGAGAGTAATCTACAATCCAGTGCCCCGGGAAAACAATATGTTTCCTTTTGTTTATAAAGGGCCTCCCACACATCATCTATTCTGTGCTTCCGTTGTTTCCTCTCTGGGTAACTGAATCAAACCATTCCTCAAAGAATCCCAGACTGATAGTTGTTCCCAGGAAATGGCCCTGGTTTTGTCACAATATAAGGGTAAAAAATCATCTCTGTTTGTTTTTCATTACATCAGAAATAGGTTTTTTTTGTCTTTTAGTTTTTCACCTTTAATATAAAACGATGGTTTTGCTCTCGAAGCACAGAAATCAGCATTGTTGTTTACTGTTCCTCGGAGCACTGGGAGTAAAGATATTCCTCAACCCAGTGCCATCTCCTCCGTTTGTTGTCACACTCGTACTCCACAACGGTGGGAGTGTACATGTGTGTGTATGTTGGTGTTTTGGGTGTGAGAACGTGTTTGTGTGGCTATACTCTAGTGGTGGAGTGTGAATGAGGGTGTGGATGGGGCAGGGTGTTATTCTGTCCACTGGGGTAACTGTTAAAGGGGTGTAAGGAGGTGAGGCCTGGCATGCTGTTGGGTATCATGGTGATGGTGTTTGGGGTCATGAGAGGGATGTCGTCCGGCGAACGGCGCATGGCGAGCGTGTAATCGGGTGGGCAGGCAGTTCTCAGGACCACCTCATGCGGGTGCATGGCCTCCCGGCACTCGCGCTCCAAGTCGCTGTGTTTCATTTGTAGAGACATGATCTCCTCTTCTTGCGTATGGGGCAGCTCGTTGGCTGTGGTCCTCTGTGGGCTGCAACGCCGGTGGACCTCGTGTCTTCGCTTATCCTTCTTGTAGTAGAGTGCAGCAAATGCCAATATGTTGAGGAAGAGCAACGAGGCACCAACGGCGATGGTGACGCTTAGTTCGGTGGAGTAGTCCCGCTGATTCTCTAGGAAGGGTTGGTTCTGATTCAGTGTTTCAGTGGGAAACGGTGTAGGGTAGGGCCTCTTGGTGTTGAGTGGGATCTTCTTTGGTGTACGGGGAGTGACCTCGGGTGGAGGCAACTTAGTGGTGGTGGAAATTATCTGGGTGACCTCGTTGAGGCTGTGGAGATGAGGCACCAGCTCCAGCCATAAGTTGACCTTATTAGCACGGTAATGTTCCTTGACACGGGGCTTCAAGCCGATGTGCAAGTACAGCTGGTCCTTTTGGTTGTAACGCGTCCAGGCCACTTCCTCAAAACGGTTAGGCTTGGTGTGGATGAACTTGGTGTCCTGTGGAACTGGCTGGTTGGGGTCACTGGAAGGTAAAAGGAACATGTCAGTACTTTTTTCACAAAAGATAATTTCTACAATTCCTCTCTCAGAATTAAACATGGGCACTCCAAAATCAAGCACTCCATTGGACAAATATCACACAAATCATTACATTAGGGGAGTGCCTAGAGACCCTTAATATTCTCTCAGTGCTCATTAGGGTCTCCTGACAACTGCACCTGCTTTTAAAATTAACGAGAATTAGTCTGAGAGAAGAAATTACACATTTGCACACAATTTTTGTTGTCCTCCCGTGAGATGATTACATGTCTAGGCAGCAATGTCATATAAACACTAAACTCACTCTAAGTGATCATCAGCATTACTTTATTCACTGCATTACACCTAAATTGAAGCAAACTAAATTGCTGTTGCATAAAAAGCAGTTGCGCAAATTTAATGTAGCATAACCTTGGGAATTTTAACAAGTATTTGGGAGTGAGAATGCATTAACAAACAATTAAGCAATGATTAAACCTTAGAAACACTGTAGCAGTGTTTCCTGGCAACAACTGGGTATTGTACGGTAATAAATAGCAAACATTCTGAATTATAGAATGGTTGCGTTGGTGGTCTTACAATAAAAACAAAGTCATATTCAAAATCACTTCTGAATCCTTATTAATGGCTGTATTGTTTGCCAAATGCCTAATTGATTAGAAATTATGCCCTGTTGCCTAGAGACTTACCCGGTCTTGGCAAAGTTGGTCCAGTAGGTCATTACCACTGCACTAAGCATCACATCATTTTTGGAGAAGTTGCAGGGGAAAAGCTCAGTTGGACCAATCATGGGCAGCCCAAACACATATGGGATCTCATCGCCATGTGCCGCATCAGCCCAGGGTGGCACCTGCTCTGTCTGGCAGTGATGGTAGAAGGCGTAGAAATAAGTAGGCGAGCCAAAGCTGGAGTGGAGGTCTGCTGTTGCCACTGCTGGTGCCACCCACTGATGATCTGTGAAGAGTGCCAGCAGGGTCTTTCTTCTGGTCTCCGGGTTGTGGCGGTCAGCCCAGTCAGTGTACATAAACTTAATGGTCTCCCGCAGGATGTCCTTCCCCTCGGGGTAACCATATAAATCATCCACAAAACTTGACACGGCATAGTCAAAATCATTGGCTTGAACTCCATTCTCGTTGTCTACAATGAGTTCCACAAACTTTAGCCCCTCGCCTTGGTTGACGCCCAGCATGATGTCGTAGTTGAGGAATTCCCCTTGTTCCATAAGGATCTGAGGGTCGTCGGGGATCACATCACCATCAATGACGGGTCCAAAGGCGATGTGGTAGCGAGCAGGCTGGATGTCCTGCTCCACTAGTTCTTTGTAGTGTTTTTTCTGTAGGCACTCTACCATCTCCACTGTATCTTTGAGGTTGCACCCCACCTTTTTGGCCAGCATGCGGGCATACTTGGCCGGCTGAAAGCTGACAGCCCAGCTGGACAAGGCTGTGCCACTTTGGGCTATGGCCCTTTGGAAAAGACCTGTATAGGAAAAACAAGACAGAATCAGAACCACCGAACCACCGTAGCATGCTACAGTACGGTCCACACATCTGAGAACACTAGAGACCATTTGCTTCTATTTATTAAATAAGTTTTTATTACAAAGTATATTAGGGGCATAGCATTTTTGTGAAAAAATTAACAATTTTACATGGCCATAAAAATAGTGCACATTTTTAAATAATATTAAACAGAATATTAAATAAAATGCTTAAACAACTTCATGTTTTGTTTAAAAAAAACAAATACTAAACTTGTTTAAAATTCACGTTTAAATGAGAATAAAATAGCAGATTTTCAATGTGCGCTCAGACCTTTGGACCCCACCGTAAGCTATTTACACAGTGCTCCTCAGTATGCAAGCTGGAGCAAATGAACACATCTCGGTTTAGCTGTTTTTATGCAAATCTTAAATGGTTTGGGAAAAGAGGCCATGCAAGTCAAAATACGAATGCTGATGAACTTGGATTATACACAGAGCTGATCAATATTTCAGTTTTTTCATGTAATTTTAGGGGGAAATGTGACTTTAAATCTATTTCTTGAATTTCATTACAGCGCATTAACCGTAATTAGCTGTTTGCACTCTGTAAACCCCTTTCACATATAGACGTCAAGGAAATTGACCACACCATTGAAGAGAAGCAGATATCATGCACAAACATCAAGACAAAAAAGCAAGTGAGTGAGCAGGAGAGAAAGTGTGTGTGTGAAAGAGAGAGAAAGACTGACAGAAAGCGCAAGAGAGAAGAAAATTGAGTTACTCTGTTACCATGACAACCCCTGGGATTTCAGTCTTAGCAGTGCAGTTATGAGTAAAAACATATTCTTACTAAAGGAGAAAGAAACTATAAAAACACACATGGAAATGAAATGGAGATAAGGGGATGTTTCAGTTCGCAATTCAACAAAATGGTGACAATTTTATATGAACCGATGAATATATTTGTGAATGAAGAATATACTGCTAAAATTAAAAAAAAAGAAAGGGAAAATATATAAAAATTATTCAAGATTAAGCAGTGCACGGTTTGCTTCAGGGCAAAGCAATCACATGTCACACTAAAGTCTCTTCCAAAGGTGTCTCTGGGTTAATTTGAATGATAGTGACAACCTTAAAGCAGGTCTGTGCCAGTAGACCTCTTCACAAAGCAATCTTCCAAGCAGAGAGACTCAAAATGGAATTAATGTATTTACCCTTTTTGTGCCAGTGGAAGGTGAATGCTGTATTTGGACAGTGTGCTCATGGCATGCCTGGTGATATATATGGACTCAACTAAATAAAGATGGGAACATGCAACGACTTAGGGAGATTTAATTTCCATAAACAAGTGATATCAGCTCAAACTGAGTGAGTTAGCAGCCTAAAGCATGATGAAAAATGTGCTTGGCAAATGCTGGGCCGATGAGGGAACTGCTGTGTAACTTTTCAGCAACGCTGTTCCTTTTAGGATTTTTGCATTACACACTTGAGCTCTGTGAAACTGAGCATTCTTTCGAGCTAATTTATAGGGTATAAGGCAGTATTTTGTGTTACAAAAATATATTGTGAACATTTGGTATATAGCCCAGCCCTAGTGATCAGTGCAGTTTTTTTGCAACCTGTTACTGTAATATTCTGAATAAATGTCACAGGTTTTTCATAACTAAGGTTGCAATCCGATTTTCAAATGCAAATGCAGGTAGTTCAAAACAACAAAAAAAGCACAGAGACCAGAATTTCTAAATGAGCCCATAACACAAACAGCTATAGCATGCAGACAAAAATTGTCAAAAGTTAAAACCTCTGCATTGTACCTTTGGTTGAATTGCTCCAACGGTTACCTTCAGAATAATGGGAAAGAGTCAGCAGGTTGACACACGAGGCCCCAGCCCCAGACCCAAAAACAGTAATGCGTAAAGGGTCACCCCCAAAGAATGCAATGTTTTCACTCATCCAGCGCAGGGCCTGGATTTGATCAAGAAGTCCATAGTTTCCCTTGGCTGCCTGGTCTCCTGTACTCAAAAAACCTGCAGAAAGAAAAAAAGAATCGAATGAGTGTTTGTGAGCATTGCAGCGCAATTTTAAAACCTTAAAAAAAGATTGAAAGCAATTGAAATATTCAATAGCAAACTGTAGATGAAAGTATGTCAGAGAAAGTTACACATTTCTGAAATGAGGGGAAACATTCTTGTCCCTTTTTTTACATCCATGACATGTTATTATCACACTTGTTCACCTGAAGAGAGCTTATGTAAACAGTTTTTAATAGTATTTCTTGGATATCAGGGATGGCCTCTCCTTCCCTGGCAGACAACACAGAGTCTTTATTTTTTTGGTTGAATGCAGCATCAAAAAATTGAAATAAAATGAAATCAAATCAACCATAAAGACAGAGATTAAGGAGTTCTTCAGCACTGTTCCAAAACCTAGAAAGCACACTATATAGGCTGCATTTTAAGGCACTATAGGCATAACTTTATTTAGTAAGATTCTAAGATGGGACCATATGTATGCTTCGCAATGTAAGCAATCCCAAAATGCACTGTGACAAGTGAAAAAAAAAATGAAGTGAGATAAACTCATTGAAAACAAGATTATAAAAATGGTTCAATCTAGCTGATTTGAAATGCAGTACCCAGAATTTCTGTTTGCTATAGTTAAGCAACATGCTAACAACAAACTACTGAAATCAGTGGTGAGAAGTCTCTAATGTGCTTCATGAACGCTATTTGTATGACATACAGAGTAGATTGCTACATGTAAAACCTTCCAAATCAAGTCAGTTGTCGTGGTGTTAGCTTAGCAACATGCTAAAAGCAAATTTTACAGAAATCAGTGGTGAGTAAAGACTCTTGTGTGCCTCGTGAGGAACCATTAAGTTACAAGATTCAACACGTTTCGAAAAAGAGCCTTTATTATTGTGTTAACAGTAGTTCTTAACTCTAAACTGCATGAATCATAACATTTCTGTGGTTTCACATTAGCTCTGCTTGCTTAAAAAAAAAAATTTAAAAAAAAGTTTGCTTTGGTTTGACTTCCACTTAAGTGCACTCAAATTAACAACAAATTTTGTGGCAATATACTATAAGTGTCAGAGGAAAATGTGTGGTTACACAGAAGTAACCCAGTGGTGTGTTTTAATTGAAAACTAGTCAGTAACTACTTCACTACAGTAGTTTATCCTGGGAATATACATCCTGAGGGTGCTTGTGAAATAATGATTGTGTGCATATTCAGTGAATAGACGACCATTTGGCTCTTGTAATTGCCCTCATAGTCCCAGAACACATGAAAAATAATAAAGCAACACAACAAGTGCTTTAAAGTAAGCTCATTTACAGATGCAGACAACAAGAAACAAAACACTCCAAAATAATTTTGGTTTCTTTAAACAAAGCGCACACACAAATCCATCTGACCCTTCCTCTGCTACCTTCCTTTTGTTAATTGAGTTCTTTATTGGATTTAATTAATCTTGTTGTGTTGCTACATCAAGAAGTTGATCTCCTGGAAGTGGCCGTCGAATACAAGCACACATTTAATTGATTCCATTTAACCAAAGCAGTGTGCAGAGCAAATCAAAAAGACCAGGCACAGGCTCGAAAATGATTAGCAATCAAATAGCAGGCTGTCAGGTGCTCATGCTTGCGGTGCAGAGCCGTGAGCACATTTGGCTGTTAACACAGGCAGGCAGCAGCCCGCTTTCCGTCCTCATGCATGCAGGGAGGTGCAATCCAATCACAGAGGAACAAAAGGGCCTCCCTCTGCTCGGACAGTGAATAGCCCGGGCTTGTGAATGCAAATGTGTTTGGTACAATGTGGAGAAAACCGATTCACAACAATGCGCTTTAATAAGACAGGCAATAATTATGGATTTTTATCACAGTAGTCAAGGAGAGGATTTGCTGTGTAAGTGGTATTGGATTATTTCTATGAGACAGAGTCAGCGGGAGACTATCCACAGCATGACAACAATATTACTAGAGATTCACAATAAAATGTTATTAGAGATATACATAGAAAACATAGGATATTTACCTCTGCGTGTAAATTTCATCATTAAAAAGACTTTTAACACTGTAAATAAAGGCTTTAGCCCATCTCAAAATTAATATTGTTTTTCATACCATACATTATAATGTTTTGATGCCTACATTCACTTGTACCATTTAAAATGACTGATTTTAGATTTTAGTGTTCTATTTTACATTTATTTAGAAAAGAATTGCATTTTTATATCACCCATTATCTCAAACTACAATATTTCTGATGTATGACTCCAGACCTTCATAGTCCCTTCCTCAGATGATTATTACATTTAAACTGCAAAAGTGAAGCACAACTCATAAATACGAACATTGCAAGCTTTTCCTGTACAAGGTTACCAAGACTCAGTAAACCCCTTTCACATATAGACGTCAAGGAAATTGACCACACCATTGAAGAGAAGCAGATATCATGCACAAACATCAAGACAAAAAAGCAAGTGAGTGAGCAGGAGAGAAAGTGTGTGTGTGAAAGAGAGAGAAAGACTGACAGAAAGCGCAAGAGAGAAGAAAATTGAGTTACTCTGTTACCATGACAACCCCTGGGATTTCAGTCTTAGCAGTGCAGTTATGAGTAAAAACATATTCTTACTAAAGGAGAAAGAAACTATAAAAACACACATGGAAATGAAATGGAGATAAGGGGATGTTTCAGTTCGCAATTCAACAAAATGGTGACAATTTTATATGAACCGATGAATATATTTGTGAATGAAGAATATACTGCTAAAATTAAAAAAAAAGAAAGGGAAAATATATAAAAATTATTCAAGATTAAGCAGTGCACGGTTTGCTTCAGGGCAAAGCAATCACATGTCACACTAAAGTCTCTTCCAAAGGTGTCTCTGGGTTAATTTGAATGATAGTGACAACCTTAAAGCAGGTCTGTGCCAGTAGACCTCTTCACAAAGCAATCTTCCAAGCAGAGAGACTCAAAATGGAATTAATGTATTTACCCTTTTTGTGCCAGTGGAAGGTGAATGCTGTATTTGGACAGTGTGCTCATGGCATGCCTGGTGATATATATGGACTCAACTAAATAAAGATGGGAACATGCAACGACTTAGGGAGATTTAATTTCCATAAACAAGTGATATCAGCTCAAACTGAGTGAGTTAGCAGCCTAAAGCATGATGAAAAATGTGCTTGGCAAATGCTGGGCCGATGAGGGAACTGCTGTGTAACTTTTCAGCAACGCTGTTCCTTTTAGGATTTTTGCATTACACACTTGAGCTCTGTGAAACTGAGCATTCTTTCGAGCTAATTTATAGGGTATAAGGCAGTATTTTGTGTTACAAAAATATATTGTGAACATTTGGTATATAGCCCAGCCCTAGTGATCAGTGCAGTTTTTTTGCAACCTGTTACTGTAATATTCTGAATAAATGTCACAGGTTTTTCATAACTAAGGTTGCAATCCGATTTTCAAATGCAAATGCAGGTAGTTCAAAACAACAAAAAAAGCACAGAGACCAGAATTTCTAAATGAGCCCATAACACAAACAGCTATAGCATGCAGACAAAAATTGTCAAAAGTTAAAACCTCTGCATTGTACCTTTGGTTGAATTGCTCCAACGGTTACCTTCAGAATAATGGGAAAGAGTCAGCAGGTTGACACACGAGGCCCCAGCCCCAGACCCAAAAACAGTAATGCGTAAAGGGTCACCCCCAAAGAATGCAATGTTTTCACTCATCCAGCGCAGGGCCTGGATTTGATCAAGAAGTCCATAGTTTCCCTTGGCTGCCTGGTCTCCTGTACTCAAAAAACCTGCAGAAAGAAAAAAAGAATCGAATGAGTGTTTGTGAGCATTGCAGCGCAATTTTAAAACCTTAAAAAAAGATTGAAAGCAATTGAAATATTCAATAGCAAACTGTAGATGAAAGTATGTCAGAGAAAGTTACACATTTCTGAAATGAGGGGAAACATTCTTGTCCCTTTTTTTACATCCATGACATGTTATTATCACACTTGTTCACCTGAAGAGAGCTTATGTAAACAGTTTTTAATAGTATTTCTTGGATATCAGGGATGGCCTCTCCTTCCCTGGCAGACAACACAGAGTCTTTATTTTTTTGGTTGAATGCAGCATCAAAAAATTGAAATAAAATGAAATCAAATCAACCATAAAGACAGAGATTAAGGAGTTCTTCAGCACTGTTCCAAAACCTAGAAAGCACACTATATAGGCTGCATTTTAAGGCACTATAGGCATAACTTTATTTAGTAAGATTCTAAGATGGGACCATATGTATGCTTCGCAATGTAAGCAATCCCAAAATGCACTGTGACAAGTGAAAAAAAAAATGAAGTGAGATAAACTCATTGAAAACAAGATTATAAAAAAGGTTCAATCTAGCTGATTTGAAATGCAGTACCCAGAATTTCTGTTTGCTATAGTTAAGCAACATGCTAACAACAAACTACTGAAATCAGTGGTGAGAAGTCTCTAATGTGCTTCATGAACGCTATTTGTATGACATACAGAGTAGATTGCTACATGTAAAACCTTCCAAATCAAGTCAGTTGTCGTGGTGTTAGCTTAGCAACATGCTAAAAGCAAATTTTACAGAAATCAGTGGTGAGTAAAGACTCTTGTGTGCCTCGTGAGGAACCATTAAGTTACAAGATTCAACACGTTTCGAAAAAGAGCCTTTATTATTGTGTTAACAGTAGTTCTTAACTCTAAACTGCATGAATCATAACATTTCTGTGGTTTCACATTAGCTCTGCTTGCTTAAAAAAAAAAATTAAAAAAAAAGTTTGCTTTGGTTTGACTTCCACTTAAGTGCACTCAAATTAACAACAAATTTTGTGGCAATATACTATAAGTGTCAGAGGAAAATGTGTGGTTACACAGAAGTAACCCAGTGGTGTGTTTTAATTGAAAACTAGTCAGTAACTACTTCACTACAGTAGTTTATCCTGGGAATATACATCCTGAGGGTGCTTGTGAAATAATGATTGTGTGCATATTCAGTG